GTCATGTGTAAGGAATGCCTTGAGAGAATTTCTTCAAATTTGGCACAAGTGTTCACTTGGACTCAATGAGGAACTAGTTAGATTTTGGCAAAGGTCAACATCAGTGACCACACTTCTGTCCCATACCCATGAATTTGACTGGTTGGTAGAGGCATACAACTGCGAAACTGAAATTCTAGTTTAGTTCTGTTTTTGGTCTCTTCCAACTCCTAACTCAGTAGCCATCACATGCTCCACTGTTTTCCAGCAAGTCTCTAAATGTGTTTGTTCACTGTTTGTGCTATGCTTCACTGGCTTTTTAGAGCTTTTTCTCTGAAAACAGCTCCCTCCTGATGCTGACAATGCTAAGAGAGCTGTGAACGTGTATCAGAACAGTAAAGTTGTGGACTTGACAGCTAAACAAGGAGCTGAAATTGTGAAAATATCATTTTAAACAACTTGTAACCTACAACTTACACAACTGAATTTTATGCTGTACGCACCAGGTGTTTCAAGTCCTACCATTGCCTGAAGGAAGGTGTTGTATCTAGAGGCCCACAGCTCAGCCAGGCTCACAGCTGCTCTGGAGCCTCGATCATCTGGAAGCTCCTGAACAGACAAGGAGCTGTTGATAACTGCCCTCTGCTGCAGGAGAAGCTGGTGTGAAGTTGCAAGTTACAGGCATCTGGGCTGTCTTTTTAACTTTTTTCTTTTAAAGAAACTTCATGAGGGTGTAACATTTAGGTTTAAATAAAAAATGAACTGGATTTATACATTGAGCATGCACTGGTCTTTTGTACTTATTTGAAACATCTTTGGTTGTAAAAGTGTATGCTTTCACTTGGGCAAAAGTGAACTGGAATGTTTTTCCAATAAACTCTAATCAGTTTTGAACTTTTTACTGATCCATGACCCAATTCTAACAATAGTTACACTGATTATGTAACTGGCGATCTGTCCAGGGTGTACCCTGCCTCTCGCCCAATGTCAGATGGGATGGATTCCTGCCCCCTGGAACCCTATTCAAGAATAAGTGGTATAGATAATGGATGGATGACTGACTCATCCATGTTTTGTTATGCTAACCAAAGACTTTTCACTATCCTACTTTTTTGAGTCTGGATAAATTAAACTCTGTGGTAACCACATGCTTATGATTGATCTTCAGCAAAAAGTGTGACAGTCATAATCAGGTTTTGATGTGAACCATGCACAAACTCCTGTAGTTTCAGAACTCATTTGAGAGATTAACATGCAACTTCTCCTGAATTATATTAAAAACAGGCTTTTTGCATAAATCAGATGCTAAAAAGAAAAATACCACTATAAAGCAGTTTCCTTCAGCCAAAACATGGAAATTTAAATTAACAAAAGACAGACAACTTCACAGGTCACAGAAATTTTATTTAGATCAGGGCCACACTTGACATTTCAGGAGTTTAGATCTAAACAAACTGGTATTTGATGGACAAACACTTCTGTTTGGAACACATTCAAGAACACATGACAATTTGTTTCCTGCCTTCGTGCCCCTTTTAATACTCCTCTCCCTCCTCCTCCCCCTCTCCCTCAATGGAGTCGACTCCGACCTCTTCATAATCCTTCTCTAACGCAGCCATGTCTTCCCTGGCCTCGGAGAACTCGCCCTCCTCCATACCCTCACCCACATACCAGTGAACAAAGGCACGCTTGGCGTACATGAGATCGAACTTGTGGTCAAGCCGAGCCCAGGCCTCTGCAATAGCAGTGGTGTTGCTCAGCATGCACACAGCCCTCTGGACCTTGGCCAGGTCTCCACCTGGAACTACAGTGGGTGGCTGGTAGTTGATGCCAACCTTGAAACCAGTGGGGCACCAGTCCACAAACTGGATGGTGCGCTTGGTTTTGATGGTGGCAATGGCAGCATTCACATCTTTGGGCACCACATCACCACGGAACAACAGGCAGCAAGCCATGTACTTGCCATGACGGGGGTCACATTTCACCATCTGATTGGCTGGCTCAAAGCAGGCGTTGGTGATGTCAGCCACTGAGAGCTGCTCATGGTAAGCCTTCTCAGCAGAGATGACAGGGGCGTAGGTGGCCAAAGGGAAGTGGATACGAGGATATGGCACCAAGTTGGTCTGGAACTCTGTCAGATCAACGTTGAGGGCGCCATCGAAACGAAGGGAAGCGGTGATGGAGGACACAATCTGACTGATCAGCCTGTTCAGGTTGGTGTATGTAGGGCGCTCGATATCAAGGTTCCTACGGCAGATGTCATAGATGGCCTCATTATCCACCATGAAGGCACAGTCAGAGTGCTCTAGGGTGGTGTGGGTGGTCAGGATGGAGTTGTAGGGCTCCACCACAGCGGTGGACACCTGGGGAGCTGGGTAGATGGAGAACTCCAGCTTGGACTTCTTGCCGTAGTCGACAGACAGACGCTCCATCAGCAGGGAGGTGAAACCAGAGCCGGTGCCACCTCCAAAGCTGTGGAAAACCAGGAAGCCCTGAAGGCCAGTGCACTGGTCGGCCTGAGGACAGAGAGGGCGACACTTGTTAAATGCATAATGTTGGATTATGATTTAGTCTTTAAACCAAAACAGTTGCATATTTAATACAACTTGTAAAATGATTTGCCACATTTGCCCCCCCCCGCTTCAGTGCTTCTGCAGCATTAGGACTGGTGATGACTTAGACCCATCTTTCTTTGGCATCAACTAATACCATTATATGCACATCTATTCTGTGATATGGCCAAATTGGCAGGTACTGTGGTCCATCACTGCTATCAAAAGTAGGCACTTTGATACCACGATGACTACTTTGAGACATTTTCCCCATAGGCAGACACGCAGTACACTTAAACCATCAGGGCAGTATCCACACTCAGATACAACCTCTCCAGTCTTGCATTAACTCACGTTTTATCACGGTGATGTTCAGGATAGATTTAAACTGATCATTTGAGGATGTACGTTAATTGTGTAGATTTAGCTTTAATTTCAATCTGCTTTTACATGAAATCTATGAAAGCAATGGGAACATGCATCTTTGAAATAGATTTCCTCCCCCTATCTGTGATTAACCGGCAGTGCAGCAGGAGGCACCTCCCTGCACCACAACCCACAGGGGACAGAAATGCCTGACAGCAGCCCCCCCACATTTACAGGATGCTGCTCCAGTCTTTCCACCGGTCTTTTTGTCCTTGTCTTTTTAATCCCACTCTCTCCCTTCTTTTGCAAGCACAACTCTGAATGCAGATTCATTTGCATGAGCACACAAGCGCCCAGGATATCAGTCTGGAATATTCTACTTGCTCCAGTGCCTGGTGGATGCACAATCACAAGGAATGCTTAGAGGGCAAATGCAACTCATCTCCTTGATTCCAACGGTGTTACCTCATGTTAGAAATCTGCATATGGTCCAGATTAAAGGACCGGTTTGGATGAAATCATTTTAAAGATTGTGTGTTTATTCAAACTAACCCTTTGCTGTTCATGTTACGTTTAAAATAAAACGATTACGCTCCATCAGTTCCTTTAAGTCATAGATTAGATTAACAACGCATTTGCTGCAGTGAATTATAAATAACAGCTGCAATCGAGTATCTCCATCCATCCCCACCCAATCTGCCTCTCCCTGCCTTGGAACAGGGCATCTGTAAGCTGTTCGATATCCATATAGAAATTTGACAAAAAGATAAAACTAAAGACAGAGTATATATCTGACTTTTTAAGGAAAAGCGATTTATCCATCCCGTTGTTAGTGAATGCCGCCGGTCTGTGCATTGTTCTCTACACAATGACAATCACAGCGTGCCACTGCTGCAGACCAATGTGTATTAACTACAACATTATATTGATCGGTTCCACATACCTACAATACATGACAATGATGAAAACGAGTCAAAATGCGTGTAGGATATCTATTGAATTAGAGGGCTACCTAAAATAAAATAAAAAAAAAACAGTCAAGACGTCGCGTACCCGCCGACACGCCGCCCGCTGATGGATTACCTTCATTTCTACCACAGAAAACGGCTTCAGACAGACACAAGAGAAAAAAATAACTTACCATGTTTTCGTTTGAAGTTCCAAGAGAAAGAGGAGAAGAGAAAATGTGAGGAAAGGGGCTTTTTAAAAACGGTGTCTTTGCGTCGCGTGTTGTACCCAACGGGGTCGATGCAACAACTGCTGAATAGAAGGGCGGCGCTACCACATTTATACGCGCAGGGCAGGGGATTCGCTGTGCGCCCAGAGAACCCAGGTTTATTACCACCATTTGGTTGTGCTCTTCAGGCCTAGCTGTTGTAAAGATTGCATTAACATGTAATCAGAATTACAATTTAAAAAGCTGTTATGGTGATAAGATAAACAGGCCTACTTGAGTTTTAACTTACTACAGGGTTGGGGTTGTATTTTAGATGCGGGTAAGAATATTTTAAATATGTGATGAAAAAGATTTTTTTTTTTTTTTTGCTTTAAGTCCTGTTAGAATAAAACTTTGCATATTGAATTATTGTGATCAGAAATTTTAGGCTGGTTTTATTTACTGCAGCAGTCATTTTACTTAGGTGTGGCAAACTGCAAATCAGCCATGTTTTTGTGCTGGTTACATGTTACTGTAGGTTATATAAGAAAAGTGTATATAGCATAAAAATGTGAGGCTCCATGCACCTGATGCATTATAAATGATGGCGACTGGCTGAATGCGTCTGATGCACAACATGCTTCCATAAAGCAGGGCATCCATGTTGCTGAGGCCTGCCATGGTGTGGTGGTGTGCCAGCTCTTCTCCCTCTTTGTCCTAGATTCTCTGCAATGATGTCATTCAGTGAGGCGATCACGTGGCTCCTTGTCAGCCTGTTTCTCTGTGCCTCTGTTGTCCAGTTGGACCGAGGCTGTTTGAAGAACTGAAATTGCCTGAATGGCGGCTTTTAGACATAACAGCTGGGTCATGGCACCTACATGATATGGGCAGTGGCTAAAACTCTTGGAGCTGGGGTTCTGGGGTTACAACATTAAAACCCTACCTTTAAGCTGTCTGAGTCCTTTAGCCATCTGAAAAGAGATGTGCATGCTGCTGCTGGTGACATAGTCAGTGCTTTAGAAGCCTATAAAAAAATCCTCATTGATGTATGAGATAAATATTGAGGCTTTTGGTCAGTAGTCCCACCATAATGTGGGAATAATCATTTATTCAGTAAGAAAGTGAGGATATTGGATATTCAGTATAGCCAGCCTTTTGTGGTTACTCAGACCACAAGGGATGAAAGAGAAGGGCAGGAAGCAGCCATGGCTCCCTGCCAGGACCTCTTGAGAGAACATTCTCCACTCCCCTCCCCCTCCGCCTCATCCTCCTTCACAGCAGCTGTGAGACAGGGAGGGTCTGAGCAGCTGCTCTTCAAGAGGAAAGAGGGAGGATGGGAATGCTAGAGAGATGGGAGTGGTCCTTCATGGCATGAAACCGACTGCACTGCATCAGGAGAGAATATGATACCCACCAAAATGACAAAGCTTACTGTCCATCTGTCTCAGGAGAATCCATGTGCCGAATGTCTGGCCTATGTGTAAAATAAGAATGCTGTGCCATATTTATTTCTAAAATGAATAAGTTTAGAAGGAGAACACAGTGAGCTTCAGCTGGTCTTGACATATTTAGTTTGACTGGTGTGAGGTTGCAAGGGTGTGGCATGGATACTGGTCTAGAAATAAGACCTGTTTTGGTTCTGCAAATCAAAAAAGAGACAGATTCATAACTGATACTCATCACGCAGATAGGCTTATCAGCAAACTCTATCATTCAAAAGCCTTGTAGTTAATGACTCTAAATTTCAGCCATATGACCTTCAGTCAATATTTTGATGGTACTCAATATTTAAAAATTACCGTAACTACAAACACACAGACAGTGAGACACACGTTGCCCACAGACAAATCAAAATACATGCTAGAGCATGGACATACACATACGCTATTATGCATTACTAATTGGTGTAGATACGGCAAATGAGCAGCAAACACTGTACGAATGGTTAGATGAAATGAGCGCAGAAGAGAAAAAGATAATTAAAAATGAGCCTGAAAAGACAAAGTGAGCACATGTTAACAGGAAAAGGAAACATCACATTATCAGCCAACAGAATCAAAAAGAGGCAACAGAGGAATAGAGAGAGAAATAAATGACAAACTGCAGCATGCACACACAAATAAAATTTTCAAGCCCAGAAATTAATTTTAAAATTTATGCATCTCTGAAATGCATTATATTGTATATGGCATGTTCTTCTTTAAATTTTTAAGTGTTTAATGTTCAGTAAATTTGATAACAGCAGAGTCCAACTGTACCTGACCGGCTATATACTGTATGTACCTGGTCAGACTGCATTGTCATTTTGTTTCAATTAATTCATTCAAATCTGAATTGCTAAACAAATATTGAAAAAGCCTACTATCTCTATATCTATACCACTACCTAAAGACCTTTAATTTGAGTAGGTTTACATGACAATAGAAAGAACTGAAATTGTTCATTTTTAACACATATTACCCAAATTGCAAGGGTCTAAAAGTTACTGGACACTTAGCTACTGTGTTTTTTGGACAGCTGTGTGTTGTTTCATGTTCATGCAAAAAAAGAGCTCACATGTGGCTCAGAGTTGTCAGTCACCATGAGGAGTAAAGTGGAGACCATGCAAGTGAAGAAGACAACATGCTGAATGCAGATTGCCTACAACAGTAGCAAGCTACCTGCAGTAGGTTATGCTACAGAGATCAGCTTCTGTTAAGTTTGCATCTCAGAATATGAGATATTTTAAGAAGCCCTACATTCAAAGAGGTAACATTTCTGCCCCTGGGACAACTGTTGTCATAGAGTTTCCTTTGTTGTTAGCAACTACTGTGCTTAACTGTCTGTTAGTTTGCCGAGCCATTTTGTAGGACCATTGAAAACAGATTTATGGCCTTCCTCACTGAAATTAGAATGTTTAGGGGTGGCTATGCACACCCCCTTACATTAGTGTCTCCAGAAAGAGTGACGACCAACGGTCTTGATGCATGTATGAACAAAGGAGCTGACCCACAGTGATGCCCTGCATCTTGTGGTGCAGAGACCACACCCTATCATCCTCATGACAACATGCATATTTATTTTTTGTTTTTCGATTTTATAAGATGGGAACATGCAGTCACAGGCAAGAGCAAGTGCATTTTCTTACAGACACAGGATGTCATGGGATGAAAATAAGAAAGAAGAGATGTCTGAGGCACCTCAGAGCCCTCCACAGAGGCAGTTGCAGCAATGCCGCCATTTAAGATGGGTCACATGACCAGATAAAGGCGGCCTATGTAGATGCTAGGCTGTATCTAGGCAACTCAGTTATTCATATCCTAGCAACCTTAAATCTTGGGAGGAGGGCTGGGGGTTGGGCATCTGCAGCTCTTTGTGGCCCACATGCGGCATGCATGACTAGGCAGTTCAACCTCTTAACTGTTAGGTATTTTTAGTCAGATAGATATTGGATAGATACTTTATGTATTAGAAATGTTTAGTGGAGATAGGATGTCTAGT